TATTTGAGGAGTAATTTTTTTAAAAAAATTAATTGACTACAAGACTACAAAAATTTATAATAAATTAAAATTATTAATGAAGAAAATAGAATAAAAAAGATTAAATTCGATTCAAATAATGTTTTAAATCTTATCCCAATCCTTAGCATCTTATGGCTACATGATTCAGACTCGAAGTATAAATGAGCCGAACACAAGGTGGGCCTGAGCTCGCTTACAACCATAATATAATCCCAGAAAATAAGTATGAAAATTGTGCCTATTTAAAACAAGAAAGAGGTATACACCTATGAAAACTATTTATTTACAATTGTAACACCGAGAAAATAATTTAATATTTAATCATCATCACAAAATTACACCGAAAATGCTTCATGGGGTCAAAGAGCCACACTGCCGGTTACCGGTTACCCGGTCAACTGCCTGAGCTCTTCAGCATTAAAGCGCGGAGCATAGCTCACATGAATAGACACGTGTCGTTAATTTCAGTTGGATAAGGCAGACAGGCCGAGCAACTATAAATAAACAGAAACCAAAGTATTCATTCTAATCGGGAAGTGTGCTTATTTCTTTCTACTTCTGCTCCACACTGGATCTGGATTCTGGAGGAGCTTAGGCAACCCAACAGAGGCCTCATTGCCGGCGATGTCAAGCTTATCGGCGTTAAGGTATTCCTATTGAGAGATTCTGCATCCATTTCATCTTCTTCACGCTACCAAATATCTAAGTTGCATAAACCCTAAATCTATCGTTTAATCAATCCATCAAACTTAGTTCTGAGCTGGGTGTGCACAAGCTAGTGAAGATTAGTTAGGGTTAGGATTAGAGATGAAGGATAGGCCGGCGATGTGAGGGCGATTGATCGTATAGACTTGGAGGAAGGGGAGATTGGCATGGCGGCTGAACAAGGGGGCCATCCGTCGGAGCCGATTCATTTACCGGCAGAAATCGACTGGGATATGCTCGACAAATCCCGATTCTTTTTCCTTGGCGCCGCGCTCTTTTCTGGCATCTCGGTGGCTCTATACCCTGCGATCGTCCTCAAGACTCGTCTCCAGATCTGCCAAACCCCTCTTTCCTGCTTCCGCGAAGCCGCCTTCATTCTCCGCCATGAGGGCTCTTACGGTTTCTATCGTGGATTCGCAACCTCCCTCGCTGGCACGATCCCCGCACGCGCCCTCTACATGACCGCGTTGGAGTTCACTAAAAGCACCGTCGGATCTGCGACCAGCCGCCTGGGCGTGCCAGATCCTGCAGCTGCTGCGGCGTCGAACGCCGCTGCTGGTCTCAGCGCGTCAGTCGCAGCGCAGATTGTCTGGACGCCGATCGATGTGGTTAGCCAGCGACTTATGGTGCAGGGCAGCGAAATGCCTTTGAAGTATCGCGGCGGCATCGATGCCTTCCTAAAGATTCTCCGCTCTGATGGCTTCCCCGGTCTCTACCGTGGATTTGGGATGTCGATTTTGACCTACGCGCCGTCCAGCGCGGTTTGGTGGGCTTCTTATTCCACGTCTCAAAGGATCATTTGGGGCGGAGTAGGGCTCTGGTTTAGCCGCCGAGATTCTTCTGTGGTGAAGCCGGGATATGGGACGGTGGCGGCGGTGCAAGGAGCAAGCGCGGCCATTGCTGGAGGAGCGGCGGCGCTTGTGACGATGCCATTGGACACGGTGAAGACCAGGATGCAGGTGATGGATGGGGGCGATGATGGAGGGAAGAGAATGATGACGATCAGACGGACGGTGAGGAGCTTGTTGAGGGAGGGAGGATGGATGGCTTGCTATAAGGGATTGGGTCCAAGATGGGCATCCATGTCGCTTTCTTCAGTCACCATGATCACTACCTACGAGTTCTTGAAGCGGCTGTCTGCTAAGAAGCAGAGGAGCTTCAATTGAGGTACGGGCATTATGGAAAATGATTTGAAAGAAATTAGGGTCCTAGTCTTTTTTTTTATTGGTATTATTTTTGTTTTGCATTTATGTGTTGTATATAAGGTGGGTTTTAGATGATGTTTGTTAGATTGAGGGGAGGGATTGATTTTTTTGAACACTTTGAGCTTGTGCTTTATTTTCGATGCAGGGGTTAGTCTTGTGTCTAGTTTAGCGAGAAATCGACGGAATAATTTTATGCTTAAACATAGTTGTTTCGTTGCGTTTTTTTCTATTGCTAGAATGGATAAAGTATATGTCAAAAAGATGAGTTCTTTTGTAACGCAAAATGATATAGGGAAATTTACATTTAAACTTCAAAATTCTCATTTATTTACACAACTAATACTTAAGTTATCATATTTACTCTTATAAAACTTTAATAGATAAATATTTTATGCATTCAAAAAAACTAAATGACATGGAGAAAAGGCTAAAGAAATTGATTGATTTGGTTTTAAACTTTGGTATTATAATAGAAGTCACATTAGAAATAGTGTATAGAAGTCACAATAGGTGTAATTATAGATAAATGTTTGACAAATAATGTTGTAAAAGTTGATAGAATTAGAGATAAAATTATAGCCCTAAAGATTATTGTTGATACTAAGATTTTTAACGTTTTAGGTATTTACGCTCTTCAAATATGTTCAGATCTAAGTTCAAAACAAGAAATTTGGAATAAGCTAGAAGAATTAATACAAATGATACCTCTTGAAACAAGAAATTTTATTGAAATAGATTTAAATGATCATATTGGTGGAGTGGTGGAATATTTTAGAAATTTTCATGGTGGCTACGGTTTTGGAGTGATTAACGAAGAATGTAGAACCATATTAGATTTTATTTTAGCTTATCATTTTGTTATTGCTAACAATTTATTTAAGAAAAGAGATGAGCCTATTATTATTTATAAGAATGAATCTAATAAAACACAAATAGGTTATTTTCTTATAACAAAAAGAGATCATTGAGAATGTAACGATTGTAAGATCGTTCCAAGTGAAAATTTAAGTATTTAATATCGATTAGTAGTTTTAGATTTTAAAATGAAGAGTTGTAAGACAAATATTACAATAAAATATCATCATAAAATTAATGAGACACTTAAAAGTCAAATAAAATAAGTTTTATGAGTAAACTTCAAGATTTCAAAATTTTTAATGTTCATGAAGAAACTAATTCAATGTGAGATATTGTAACAAATACTATTAAACAAGTGATAAAAGATGTCCTTGGAGAATCAAAAGATATATATATATATATATATATTATAAGAAGTTGTGTTATAAAAATTGGTTTAAATATAACAACTTAAAGAAATAGGAAAAATATAAGGTGACCCATATGGAATCTAAGAGAACAATTTGTGATTCTATGAATTATGCTTATAATGATCTTTATAATAGATTAAATAGTAGAAGAGTGCAAATATATGTATAAACTATCCAAACAAAAAGAAAAGAAAAGTAAGTATTTAATTCAAGTGTATTAAAGATGACAAATAAGTGATTTTCTTGGAGAAAGATATTCAACATATGTGGGTGGGCTATTTTTATTGTTAATATAATATATATATATTTTTTTACCGTTGCATTATTAAAAAAGAAGTTGAGGAGACTTTAAGAAAAATCAATAGGACCGTAGGACCTAATGATATCCCTATTGAAATGTGGAAATATCTGAGAGATTTGAGAGTTTCTTGGCAGAGACTTTAAGAAAAATCAAGAGTGAAAAATCAATAGGACCGTAGGACCTGATGATATCCCTATTGAAGTGTGGAAATATCTGAGAGATTTGAGAGTTTCTTGGCTAACTAAACTTTTTAATATTATTTTAAAAACTAAAAGGATGTCCGAGGAGTGGAGGAAAAGTATTTTAATTCCCATTTTAGGAATAAAAGGGATGCACAAGAGGGTACAAATTATATAAGCATTAAGTAAATGTGTCATACTTTAAAATTATGGGAATTGGTAATTCAACATAAGTTAAGATGTAATACTAAGATTTCTCATATTCAGTTTGGATTTATGTCGGACATGCCTACTATGAAAGATATACATTTATTGAGAGGTTTGTTGGAGAAGGACAGAGAGAGTAAGAAGGATTTACATTTAAATTTTATTGATTTAGAAAAAAGTTTACGATGAGGTTTTAATAGAATCTTTTTGGAGAATTCAAGAAAAGAAATGTGTCAATATTACTTATAATCAAATCATTGAAGATATGTATACTAGAGCTATTACTTGTGTTTGAAAAGGAGAATTGGCCAAGTATTTTTCTATTACAGTAGGATTACAATAGGGATCAACTTTAAACCCATATCTTCTTCGCTTTATAAATGCTCCTACTGGACATATATAAGAAGATGTACCTTAGTGTATGCTTTTTGTTCATGATATCCTTCTTGCGGATAAGAATAGAGAAAAGAGTTCAGAAAAAACTTGAATTATGGAGTTCCACATCGGAGTTTAAAGGCCTTCGTTTGAGTAGATCTAAGACTAAATACATTGAATGAAATTTTAGTAGTAATACCTCTAACGACAGAGTTGTAACTATGAGTGATCAAATCATTAAAAGTTGTGATCGTTTTAGATATCTCGGGTCTATTGTTCAAAGTGATGGTAATGTAGTGAAGATGTTATTAGAAGAATTCTGGTTGGTTAGTTGAAATGGAAGAATGCATCAGACCCGTTGTATGATAGAAAAGTACAGCGCGGACCTAAAGGAAAATTTTATAAGATGTTGATGAAACCTGCAATGACTTGTTGCATAGAATGTTGGCCTTTAAAAGAGAAACATAAAACAAAGTTAGTGTTGTTGAGACGAGAATGCTTAGGTGGATGAGTGACTTGACACTTGGAGATAAAATGATCCGTGAAAGGGTTGGTGTAGCTCGAGTTACAGAGAAATTTAGAGAGAGTCGTCTTAGATGGTTTGGTCACATTAAACATCGACCATGTGATCATCCAATTAGAACAATAGATGTTTTTATATTCAAATTAAGAAAGATAAAGGTAGACCTAAAAAGACTTGAGAGCATATTATATAAAAAAACTATCTTAATATATTAGAATTAAATGAAAATATAAAACTCAAGAGGACACAATGGAGAAAAAGTATTCCTGTAGCGGGCCCCACTTAGTGGAATAAAGGCTTGTTGTTGTTGTAAAAAATATCTCGAGATTCATGCTAAATGATAATATTTTTTTGATGATGCACCAATGATATTAAAGTATATAACCCAAAATAAAATTCTAACATAAAGTTTCTTCCCAGAAGATTATCAATATTTCTAAATAAAATAATTTGAGCTATAACATCTGCCATCAATAATTATTCTCATATATGGAGTTCAGAGTTAGTAGTTTAAATGGATGGAAAGAGGAAAATTACCAAAAAAAAAAAAAATGCAGAGGAGCTCAACACTTTCACAATTGTATGATAAAAAATGTTAGTACAGGGAAGAACTCAACTCTCTGCAATCGAAAATGAATTTTCTATGACAAACAATACAACTAATTGCCCAACCGGCTGACGAGCTCTGTTGGCCAAAGAGCACCTCGAGTACCCTATGCACCTCTCCTTGAAGCAAGAGTAATTATGTAGTTTTATATTTTATCCTTCCATATTTTATAAATAGAGGACCATAACATGTATTAGACTCTCTAGGCTCTTCTCTTTCAACCTCTCCTTTGTAGGAAGAAATTTCTCCTTTTTCCAATATAATAACTACATTCAAGAAATAAAAAGGGCCAAAGAGCCCAGGGACACCCCATCTTTGCTCTTACGGGGCAAGTTTCTCTTTCTCAATTTCTCTATCCCTGAATCTCTACTCTCTATCATTTGAGCATGATTCATAGAACAAATCTAGACCCAACATCTTAAAAAGTGAAAGGAGCGTAGATCATGCCGCTAGCAAGAAGTTGAGCATATCAAGGAAGAGAAAATCCTACACGGGAGATAAAAAAAATGTCCTTAAATCTCAAAGCATCCAAACACCGAGCTTTAAGCTCAACTCAGAAAGAACTATGGAGGCGGTTATCTTTTCTTTAGTGACAAGATGTGCGAAGAGTACAACACAAATCACCCCAATAACGAGTCTCAATGGTTGCTACCGTGAAGACAACAAAAAGATCCGCCGAAGACCTGGTGAAAGGTGCCGCTCGACCGAGGCGACGGTTCAACCGAGCAAATGAGCTGACGAGGAGTAAGAATTAAGTTGGGCAATATCATATCTTAAAACCGACTGACGATCTTTCCAAGAACTAGGTCGCCTATCAAAGCAGATAAAAAATTAACCCCAAACTGACACAAAAAGTTGCTAAAAACCAAGGGAGTATAACTAGTACATCACTGTCATCGCATTTTTTGTATTTAAAGTCTCTCATTCTTATCACAATTTTGCTTCTAAAAATTAAGAGACTTGGGGGCTTTTTGTCTAACAAAAATGTTTGCTCGGGAAGAACTCAACTCTCTGAATCTGAAAATGGGTTTTCTATGACGAACAACACAACAGAGTCGTTGGCTACTCCGGTTGGCTGCCCTTGTCCAACCAGCCAACCGATCAGCCACCCATGGTCGGTCATCTCAGCTTGTCGACTAACGAGCTCTGCCAACTGAATAGCATTTAAACGATAGTCCCGGACGACACTAGAATACCCTATGCAACTATCATTAGAGTGAGGTTAGTTACGTAATTTTGTATTTTATCCTTTCATCTTCTATAAATATGGGACCATAACATGCATTTAGGGGTGTAAACGAGCCGGGCACGAGCGAGCCCACGCATTGCTCGTGTTCGACTCGTTTATATTTCAAGCTGAAAAGTGTGTTTGTGTTCGGCTTATTTTCTTAGCGAGCCGAACACGAGTCGTTCACGAACAAATAGTCGTTTTGACAAATAAGATGTTAAGGATTGAGACAATATTTAAAACATCATTTGAATCTAATTTAATAATTTTTATTCTAATTTTTAATTAATACTTTTAATTGATTATAAATCTTTGTAGCCTTGTAGTTAATTAATTTTTTTTAAAAATACTACTAATCAATTAGATACATATATATATATATATATGT